AAATTTATTTTGGTCTTCGTCAGCGCGGATTTTGGACAGAAATTTGTTCTCATCGAATTTCCCTACTAACTTCCTGCATTTAACATGTTAAAACGTCTCGACGAAAATATGTTTGTTCGATAACTTGCCGTTAACTTACTGTGTATTTAAAGGCCTCGTATAAGCGTTGAAACGTGTCGTATTACATCGACACCTGGAAATCTGCATCAGTTTCAGTTTATGGTATGATAACGTTGGAACAAGTGTTTCAAAATGCTCGATTATTTTCCAACTGCGGTATTATTATCGATAATAGAAGGTTGATCATAAAGAGCAAAAATTGTACATTGAACAGAACCAGGCAGGAAGATAGTTAATCAAGAGGTTATAGTTAATTTTCTCAATCGTTTTAGCGTTTTATTGTAAGAATTGGAAACGAACGAACCGAATAACTCTAAGAATTATTTGCATACGGATGATTCTGCTTTTCAATATCTATTAATATATGAAGTTCGTCTAAGGATCGAGAAACAAAATACAATGATGAAAATCTACTGCAAATTATATTCGGTATCGGCGCCACCCTCTGTAAGTTGAAACCTGCGCTCCAATTGAGCCTTGCTCACCGATTAAGATCGGGATTCTAATTCCTCGCATAATCGATACAAGTTGTTTCTGATGCCGATTTGCCGATACCGAATTACGTAAATTGTAACATGTATCGTGAATCCTAAGTATCGATGCATGCATCGCAACATGTTTCAACGTGTATAGGGGCCTTCAGGGATGTATGACGTGGCTGCCGATGTGATGGAAATTCTCAAGCATTTCTATCTTTGAAAAAAGGAAAAAGAATGGATTTATGTTTTAACAAATTTCAAATTTCTTGTTTCAAGAAACTTAGGCGTTTTGTAGGATGCTCGAAAATGTTCACGAATGGCTATATTCCTTACATTCGATTTATCCACTTTGAATATTCTAATGCAATTTAAATATAGTGGTATACAGTTATTTGAAATGGCATGGAATAAATTTCTATTTGTTACGGGTTCGAGTGCTGTGTTCGTCACGATTGCATCAAAGTTCATCTATTTTTATTAGGCCGTTGTGCGTTCGTTGCACGTAAATATAGAAATCGTGTCTTTGTTGTTTACTTCACGTAATCATCAATTGTAACCGAAGCACGTTTACCTTACAGTTTCATTGAACGCGTGTTCTAATGAAAATTGCATTTATTCCGGACAGGCAAGTGCGTAAGGCATTCCGCATGCGACATCGCCAACGGATCAATCTAAAGTAACGCTAAATTCCGAAACTATGCATAGTATGTTAGAAAATCTCTAATATCTAAATTAACTATTGTGGCGAAATGGAGAATATGTTATAAATGTGCATTTAAAAAAGTATGTATTAAGATACGTATAATACCTCGTTAACAGGTTCATAAATATTAGGACACTTGCTAAACTTGTATAGAACACGACAATTGTTCTAAATTGTTAGACAAATAATTAATCGATAAATTAATTAGATCGTATAAGATGATGATCCAAAATACAGGACAAAGTGTTGTGAAAACAATTTGCAAGAATTTTAAAAGATCTCATTGAAGGAATTTGGATGGAATTAAATAGTGCAAAGTTTAAATCGGATTCCTGAAACTGTTAATAGAATATAGTTAAATAACGACGTATTAGACATAATGAAATAGGTATCCGATAGGAATATCAAAATAGGAATAGAAAAATAAAGTATCTAATAATATATGAAAATAAAGAAAACATGTAACCTTATTATACGTGTAATTGGTGAGATATTTGTTGAGACGTTGAACATATTAGTTCTTTATAGTCTACCGTTCCAAACGAGCTTTAATCATTTTTTAATGGTTTATTAGGTATACTTCGATTTTCTGCAAGTGTACTAATATTTATGAACGGGGGTGTACATATATTAATCCACTGGAATACTCTGAATGTTATATTCTGTGCTCTTCATTAACATGCAACTGAATGATAATCATTTTAATAAATACACAGAAAGGTTCATAAATTTACAAAAGGCATTGTTACACTGATAATCATTAAGTATATTCACGACAATGGGTGCAATGCTACAGAAGATGTACTTTCTATTTTACTAATGGAATCCAATTACTGTAAAAATCAAAATTTCTAAGGTGTTATAAATCTTATCTTACTTCATTTTAATTGTTAGCGTTAAAAATCATTACCGCAGATAAAAGTAATTGTTATTGAATTTGGAAAATATCTAATATTGTGTAAAAAATGGGGCACATATCATAAACTTGACAATGTTGATAATCCCCTTTACAAAAATAAAATACCTGACATAATACACTCACGTGATATTTCTTGTTTAAATCATTTTTCTAATACCATAAGATTTCTTTATTTTTAATAGTAATACGTTTAGCATATAGTGATATGATCTCGCAACTGTGTTCTATGAAATTATCGATCTTATCTGTGCAATAATTTGTATAACTACATATAATGAATGTCGAATGTTCTACAATAAATTTATATCTATGAAAGTATAAAAGTTAAATTATCAATCTAATTAAAAAATTGAATTTTTTAATTTTAGTTGTGAAATTATGTTACAAAAACTGGTCAAAAGTTCCTCATGTTTTCTTCCTTTTTTTAATATTCTCTTTTTATTACTGAGAAAATTTACAGAATTCTACCATATTCTTCGTTGAATACACAAATTATATCCTTCAACAGAAACAATATTTATCACGAATATTTTTCCTAATCAGATTATATTATAATAAATTTCAAAGATAATTCTAACTTCCTCAAATTAATCAATTCTTTGAAAGCTTTAATTATCATATTACTTACAATAATGTATGCCTGTTATTTGCAAGACAAGTCAGCAAAACGTTTCAACTGAATTAATCTTTGTGTGATAATATTAATGGATAGTAGTTTGTATAGAACTACAATGTACACTATACTATAATTGGGGATAATTAGTACAATAATTGAAAATAACCAATAACTGTATTTACAATCTAATGGCTCATTTATTGCATACCTGGTTATTAGTTTAAAAATACCACACCAATTAACTAATATATAGATACCTACAGTATACCTATGAGCTATTGTATTTGGTACAGGAGACACGTCAATGTCGTTTATTGAATTATCTTAATATAAATTCAAATAACGATCTACTATATAAATTACACATAGTATAATTGTTAAATATTCATTTCATAAAATTTTCGCGAAATGGGAAAAAATAGCTGAAAAGATCTATCGGAATATTCCTTACGTGACTTACGAAAGATAAAATAAGTTATGTAATTGGGATAGTATGCGTTCGTATGACAAATGCAATTGCACAATGCGAAATTTGTTTGAAAAGTTCGAGTAAAATCTGTCATTCTCTTTTTTTAGTGCGCATGCGCAGACGCGTACGCAGATGCGTGCGCGCCGCCACGTGACTATTCCATTCAATTGCATATGGGTCTGTGGATATGTGTCGTGTAATTATGGCATTACGTATAAACTATTTTTGCTACCGTTTAGTATGACTAATTTCATGAAAAATTATAAATAATTACATGAACCTATCACCATATTCCTTTTGCAAATAAAATAACTTGGAAGATGGAAGGGAGTATAGTACTAATATATGTACGTATATAAATAATGCAAGAAATAACGCGATATGTTTTGTTTTCCTAGAGAAACATAGCTATATCACGTTCACTTCATACTTCAGCCTTGTCCTACATACCAGAACGTAGAAATTTTGTTTATACTTATATTCTGAAATTTTATGGTGTATTATGGTAAATGGTACATTTCACATTGACTACTGTTATCTTCATAAGACAGAATACGTATATACTTCGTGAAACACAATTTAAAACATCAATTATTTAATTATTTGTTAACCGATGTAAGAAATACAATGAAGATAGAAATTTTAACATGGTTATATTTATGATATTCATATATTATTAGTTTAGTATACATGGCTCATATTTTATGTGAAGTATTACATTCGTACCAATTATTTCAAGAAATTTATTCAATATCGCAGAAAACGGACAGCTTGCGTTACGTATGATGTATGGGACAATTGAACGTGTTAAGCATGTTATTAGTTTTACGACACAAGGAGAAAAACTAAATTACTATCTTAGGCGTTCGGTATTTTCTGTTTTATAGTAATTGAAGTACTGTAGTTTTATCCTTTAGGCTGGATATTAAAGGAACATTGAGAACAATGGACAATTTTGACCAGAAGACTTCCTAGTTATTGTTGACAGGCATTTGAATCACGTGGACTATTGCAATAGTAATGGATTCCGATTATAAAATAGAATTTTCTCATTGCGCAGGGCTCTATATTTACTGATTATTATCTAGAAAATTATATTATTTTTCTGTATTCTATTGATTATTTAACAGCTATGTTTATTAATTCTAAAATCTTATTTATGGTTTTATTGACTACAAATTTGACAACAAAAAGGATTATCCCTTTCTTCACGTTCACTACAAGTATTCCACCTGCACATCGTACAATGGGGCAAATGAATGGAGAAAATCAATGAGTTATAAAGCTTCGTGAATTTCTTCTAGTGAAATCTATAAAGTTTAAATATAGTTTTTTTTAATATTTCTTACCCTGACTTTTTAAACATTTTTGTAAAAATATAATAATGAAGATTGTGGGACTCATTTAATAGAAGCGAGTAAAATATTTTTTGTATAATCTTTCAAATAATTTTTCACTTTTCCTTAAAAGCTTGCTTGAGTTGCGTCATTTTTGAAATACATTTTTTGTTGATAATTTAAAAATATCGAATTATCGCTGTCGGTAAAATAGGGCGCGCTACTATTCTTAACTCCAATAAGAGAGCGCTACCTTTACCCGCTTAATTGATCAGGTCTGGACCATTTATACAAGGACCATTGTTTAATATACTTTATATCTGTAACTATCTAATGTCATGTTTCGTATAATTACAGATCAATCTAATTGAGTGCTTTTCACCACATTCTCCACGCTAACATGACGACGAAGAGTGTAAAAACGAAATTAGTCCCGCCGGATGGAGGATGGGGATGGGTCGTCCTTTCTTCAGCTCTTGTCGTGAACCTCCTTATTCCGGGTACCGTGAAATCGTTTGGTGTCCTCTTCGTCGAATTTCTTCACGTTTTCAAATCCACTTCTACCGCCGCCTCATGGATGCCAGCTTTATGCTACTTTTTATACAACTCTTTAGGTAAGCCAATTTTTACATTCATATATTTTCTCATTGCAAATTAAATGAGAAGTAATAAGATGTATCATCTCATATTGCTATTATAGCTACTAAAATTAATAAACTATATAATGATTGTTTATGTTATAAATTAAATTAGATCATTACGTCACTGTTAAACACCGTCCTTCCACATTTTTAAAAACTGTCAATGAATAATTTGTTGAAATTTAACATAAATTTTTGTAGACTTATGAAGGAAAGTCACTGCATTTTTTCTAACCTATAGATGTTTGTAAATAAAATAAACTTTCAAGTAAATTCTCAGATATACATGACACATCATAGTTTTACTATTTAAAATCATATTTTGCTCTTTCAATACAATATTAAGATTAGATAAAATAAATGATATCTTATAGGTCCACTATCCAGCATTTTATCAACTAGGTACTCCTACAAAACAGTGACCATCATCGGCGGCGCGTTTGCAGCTAGCGGGATGATGCTGAGTTACTTTGCTAATTCAGTTTCCTATTTATACGTTAGGTATAATAAAATCATCTTAAGAATCTTGACATTTTTATTTTGGTAAAATAAAAAAATTATGAAAACAACATTTTTTGTTTAATAGATAAATATTCACTCTCTCTTAAATTTCTAGTAAGGAAACTTTAAAAGTAAAGATTACGAACGCCTAGTGAATAGCAACCCACTGTACATCAATGTAATTTTTGAAATGAATGCATCCCAAATACATACTTACTACACATGTATTTTGGTGTAATAGTAGAAAAATTTTTGTAAAGTATTTATAAGAAAATTTAAGAAATAATCAATTTGTTTATTAAAATTTTTTAAAAAAATTTACTCATTTCTTATACACTTTTAAGTGAATAACATGTGTGACAGATTGTTCTTTTACAGGCGCCCACAATCTTTTCTAAAACTTTATCATCAAAAAATAAAGGTGATCGGACATATTATTTATTAAACAAAAAAAATGTTTCTTTTATCATTTAAAAATTTATTCATTATCACTACAATTTATTGTAATAGTAAAATTAGATATTTAAAAAAAAAAGAGAGCTAATAATTTTATAATTTTATGAATACAGCTATGGCTTGATGGTTGGAATTGGTGCTGGACTAACATTTCCACCAACAGTGTATATTGTAACTTCATATTTTGAAAGGCTTCGAGGTTTCGCAAATGGCTTGTGCATCTCTGGTAGTGCAATTGGAACTATCGTGTTACCACCTTTTCTACAGTATCTTCTTGACTGTTTTGGATATAGGTAATGTATCTTTATACATTGAATAGCATGTGTATAATTTATATCACTTAAAAAAATTTAATCAAATATGATCAAATATCACTATAGTTAAAATGGTTAAAATGCATATTTTCAGAAATTTAAAAGTGTTACATTTTCATTACATTTTTAGAGGTGCAGTATTAATCATGGGTGCACTCACATTAAATACATTGGTATGTGGTTTACTATACCATCCTGTTGAACAACACATGATCATGGTACCAGTAGAAGGAGGAATTGATAATCAAGGATTAACTATAGATGAACCAGTCCCCCATAAAAAAAAACTAACAGGTAACTTAGTATTGTTTAATTGATACACTATTAAGAAACATAACAATCTAAATGAATCAGAACTATGAAAACTGAATGGGTATTTAACAATATATGTTATATTGTACATATAATGTGCACATTTGAAATATTTTAAATTTGAATATTTTTATGACACTGAAAAGATAATTTTTTGAGATGAGTTGTAAAATTAAATTAAATTTTGGATCTTTTCAAAGCATCCAGCACGATTGAGAATGAAACATCATGCAGCAATACAAGATCAAAGAAAGAAGAAAGTTCTGAAACTGAAAATATAATGAATAACTCTAAAGTAAATCCTTGTTTGAAAGATAAGAATGAGGATAAAAGCGATGAAGCAAAGAAAAAAAATACTTTCGAAAAAGGTCCTAGTTTGAACAAAGAGAAAGAAGATACTGTAAATTGTCAAAACGTGGATTCTTTACGAAGAGAAAGTAATACTTCTGAAGTTCTTGTAACTTCCAATAAATTAAAAAATGAAAAGCTAGAGTTGAATAACACATCGTTGAGTAAGAACAGAGACGAGAAGTTGTTTGAAAGTTCGAAAAGAGAACTAGGAGAATTGTCAGAAAAATCAATATCTGGAACATCGTTGACTAAAGTTGAAGTAAAAAATAAACGACAATTCTTTGACTTGAGTGTACTTAGAGATCCAATTTATTTAGTAATTCTCATTTCAAACTCTACCTCAGCTATCAGCAATACCAATTTTATGATCTTACTGCCTTCATATGCTATTTCACAAGGATTTGATAAGAATTCTTCAGCATTACTTTTATCAATTGTTTCTGCTCTTGATTTAGTTGGGCGAATCAGTGGTGCTTCATTATCAGATATCGACTTTGTGCCAAAGTATTATTATTTCGTTGGTGGCCTGGGTACTAGTGGAATAGCTTTGGCATTATTACCTATGGCAACAAGTTATACAATGCTTTCTTTCTTTTGTGCATTGTTTGGATTGTCTTCAGGCATGTACATTGGTATCACAACGGTAATTTTAGCAGATATGCTTGGCACAGAAAAACTTAGCTCATCATATGGGATATCTTTATTTGTTAATGGAGTTCTTCAATTAATTGGTCCACCTATATGTGGCGTTATATTTGAAACAATAGGATCATATAAACCCATATTTCTAGCATTTGGTATTATACTTATTCTTGGCACTGCATTATGGGCAGCTGTACCTCTTATAAAGAGGAGCAACAAAAAATCTTTACAAGTTGTATAATATTTCATAATTACTAGTTTCTATAATGAATATTGCACAAGTTTAAAAATTATAAGGTATTATAGACTTGTTAATAACAGCATTATAACTGCCATTTAAACCATACAGTTTTTTTTTAGAAAATTTTCCATTTTTAATCATTTAAAGTTGCAAGTTAGTCTTTTTATTCACGGATCTATAGTAATACATCATTAATATTATTATCATTTCGAATACTGATACTGATCTAATTTTATTTGTGTATATTGATATACTTAATAACTTATAGTTTAATTATCAGTGAGTTTACTATAGTTTTATTTAGTTATAATAAGGAATTATTTTACTGTTATGGTTGTAAATGGGCATATATGCAGTCATATTTGATGTTAATAATGAAATTATATGGACAAGATAAGAGTAGAAATAAGAATATATTAACCCTACGTTTACGTATTAATATAAAATTTATTATATGATTTAAAATTTTAAGTCATGATTACATATCAATCGTACTGTATACAATTCCAAAACAAACAATTATAGCAACAAGGATATTTTAATATAATCGGTATAGTAATGCACAAACGTAACTTTATTATGATATCATTAAAGTTTAACATCTCAAGTTTACCAGCCATTAATGAAATTGAATCATTATGATTTTCTAATAGTTAAATAATGCTTGATAACTTTTGCTAAAATTGGCAAAAAGATTAATATTATGTTTAAATAAAGAAAAAAATAAAAATGACTTTACTATTTGTGAGAAAGCTTTTTAGGAATTTATAATTATACCAAAGCATTCTTTTGTATACTATTATCAATTTTCAATGATTTCTTGGTGCTTAAACTTGTTGGTATACTAATTTCGTCCAATATTATAGTACAATCTATATACAATGTATTACTGAGTTACATATGTCTTTCCAGAAATATCATATATTAATACATGTTAAGTAGAATTGTTATTGTGCAATACTTTTACTATTACTGAAATTTTTCTAGCTAGTTTCAATATATTTTTATATACTTCATTAACTGTAAAGAGATATGATACTTTAAGTAGGCTACTTTAAGACATTTTTGAAAGTTTCCTGTGAAGAAATGTATATATAGTTATTGATATTTTAGCTACGTAAAAGTAAAAATTATGATCCATTACTATTAATATCATAGATAATCAGAGATTACATATCATAGCTGTATCGTCCATCACACTTTGTCTGAAAATTCTTTCAAAATGATGGTACTAATTAAGCACAATTTACAATTAATCAGCAGAAATGATTAAATGTAGATTTATCTTAATCCTTGCACATATAGTTACTTTTTTACACAATATGGTGCTAATTAATAATATGAAATTTGCTATTTAAAACTTGCGACTTCTATAAGCTGTAAAAAGTAAGACTTGTAATATTGATCCAATAGTAGATTTGTCAATTTTTTAAATTTGGCTAAAATTCACTACTTCCAAAATATGTTTTTAAAACACTAAATGTGTAAAAAATGTAAAAATTCCAAAGTTGACATTTTTTCGGTCTTTAAAAGTAGAACATTCACTTAAATAAATAAGTCACCTTTTATAAATGATCTGAATTTTTGGATAGATCACACAAACATAAAGGTCTTCAAAATTCGAATACTGTACAAGTTTTATTTTTCAAGAAATATTAATTCAATACAAACTGTAATAGTTCTAATTCCAATTTTAGTACTAAATATATTAAAGAAACAAAGACAATGATATAAATAAATTGTTATATTATTTATGTCATTGTTTACATCATGAAAAGTATTGTATTACTAGACTTATTAGAGAATCTTTTTACTAGGAGAGATTAAAAATTACTAGGTTCTGTTTATTATATGTGCATAGAAAATTTTAATTATATATTTATACCAAATACTCAGCTGTTTCTATTTATATTAGTTATAGATTTTTCCATGTATTACAATATCATTAATCACTGATGATCTGGATTTCTGTGCACATACTCTCTGGTAAAAATTTCTTCATTTTTGTACAAACGTGATGCGTCAATATGCATTCAATTTTTTAGTTCAAGTTTTTATTTGAATACTGGTTAATATTTTAAGGAACAAAAAGTCATCTATGTATTGCAGTATATATAATTACTATAGTTTTTTTTTAGAGTGAATTGAACAAGATTTTTGTATTGTAGAGAAAATTTCTGATTTTTGTAATGATATTAAGAATGAATGCGAATGATTAAGTGTTACAAATGTAATTTTTATATCTGAGTAGCATTTATTTAAAATAATTTGTAAAATAATCAGACATTATGATTACAAATAAGAACAATGGAATGTAGCAAGAAAAAGTAAGAAAAATAAGAAAGTATTATCAAATGTATTTTCTACTGAAAATAAAGAGAATTATGTCTGTATATAATGTTTTTACATACATACTATATGTAAAATATTTCACAGAAGTTTTGTTTAACTTTCTGCACGTTTCTTAAAAAATACTTTCTATATTCCTTTTCACATTACTTAAAGAAATCTTAATGTACAATAATTTTAAATAATGTAATATTAAATACTATAAAATACTTTACAAAATTATACTAAAATAATTATCGAAATATTTTTTAACTGCAATTATTTTACGTTATCACTAAAATACTATTTTTATTGTCATAGACGTTTGCTCTCTTAAAATTTATGTATGAACTGTAATCAAAATTTGTTATTTATTATAATAAGCAATAAAATTTGAATACTTATTCAGCAGTTAAGTATGGTATTTTTATTATTTTTTTTTAATAATGTGTAATTATATGATTTAAATGATATTTTAAGTTTATTAATAATTAGAAAATAATTTTAATTACTATTGGTTTACATTACAAGTAGAATTACATGTATTTGATTTCAAGTGCTATTATATAGTCATTGTGATTCCCTACATGAATCATATTTATGTTCCTTTTAGCATGCCTGATGTTTCTTTTCAGTATTGATATTTAGGAATATCATTGATATCTGCTAAATTTCTTTTTTATTTGTTTTTATATGACATTTTATATTTCCTTTTATGTAAATTACATCTTTGTAAGGATCCAAAATAAACTGTATTTTACCGAAAATATAATATAAACTGTTATTCAATTTCATTAAAAAAGATAAAATTAAAGTTTTCTAATTCCATTAAGAAAAAATACTTAACAACAAAAAATTTTATAGAACGAATAGTATATATTTTGAAATTAATTTACTATTAAAAACAACTAAATATTATAGTCTTTAAAAAATACTTTAAAATACCCTAACAAACTACCTTAAAATACCTTCTAATTGCGATCACGCAGGAACAATCGATCACTATACTAAATTTAAATTACGTACATCATAAATAAAAAGACTACGGATAATTTTAAATAATGTTAAAAAATTGGAGATAATCTTACACAATTTATAAATTTTGGGTCAATGAATTACTGCTAGATAAAAGATCATACATCACTGTTCTTTTTTATACTATCTTATATTTATAATTACATTTTGTTCTTCTAATATATACCTGGCTTACAATACGTTTTAATATAATAAATATTACAAGATTGCAAATGCTTGATAACTTTTCGTATAATATTTTCGTCACTACAGGCGTATTTGTCTATTCATGAAAAATATAATTGATACGAAAATAGGTGTGTGGTATCCTATTGTTTCTTTCTTTATTAATCTTAAACAAATACTGTAGATTTTAAACATTGTCAAAGGCATACAAGAGTTATGTGTTACTCAGAAATGTAGGAGTTATATTTTTAATATTTGATCTCAATTACTTTACTTAATACAATACTTATTGTATTGACAAACATTTCATTTTTGTAAGATATGGAAGAGTATAGTGGAACATGTGCTTTAGTAAAATTTTATTGTATAATAATTACTAATGTACTATTAATCATTACATGTTAATCATGCATTTTAGTTTCTGACTGTTGTAACAGTTAATAATCTGAGATGCTTTTTTCTTTTCTTTTAAACATATGCATACCTGAACATAATTAATTTTTGTCGATGGAATATCAACTTATCAAAATTTCATATTTGAGAAATTCTTGATAGTCTCTTTAGAATTCCATGTAGAATTATTATTTTACAATTGTAGTGTTTACATTAATTTAGACTACCTATACTTGGGAAAAATATATTATAATAATTATAAATAATTAAATATCATTAATGACGTGTAATTTAATAAATAAATGTTTATAGAATTGCTCTATACAGTTATACAGTTTTTGCTTGTACTAATAATACGTCTATTGGAATAAATTATTTACAAAACCTATTTCAGGGCTTGGTATAATTTATCACTGAGCTGTTTAAGAATCATTCTGATCAATTCCATAAAATAAAAGGTAGAAGATGATGTTACAAACACCGTTCTTTAAACGTCCTTAGAATTGAACATTTATTAATTGTATACATAGATAATAAAATTAAAAAATTGACAAAAAATGGAGTTGATCAGTTTGGCTTCCAAGAGACTCAATTATTCTACAAAAAATTGTATGGAAGCAAGTGGAAAATTGCGCTAGATGCGGATTTAAAGTATTTTGCATACTTACTCTTTTTTAGCGTGATAGTAATAAAATGAACTGCATTGTCTCCTCTTCGAATCATTCTGAATACGAAAACATAACACGAGACTTGGAAAGATTCCCAAAACCATTTATGAAAAATTTTTAAGCTGGTGATTACGACGTGGCTGTGTCTCTGCGCCCGCTGAACGATACAATAGAACGAATACCTTTTACCGAAGTCTGAAATAATTGAACAAAGGATGTAATTTTATTAACAGATGCTAAGACTTCTTTTTTAAGCTAATTTTTTAAAATGTTTACAAAACTCTCGAGTTTGCAGCGGATTACTATTTAAGAAGTTTTAAGTATATGCAATATAAGTGTTATGAAGTCTTATAAAGAACTATAAAAATGTTATTAATAATATTGACAGCGATAGTGATGTCGAGGACGATAATAATGATAATAATGTTGATGATATTCATAATGTCTATTATGTAACATTAATATAAAAACTTTACATTTTGGTTGCATAAACTAATGAAGTTAAATTTTTGACATCGTTGAGTAAAAAATTGTTTCCAACAAAAAGAACTGTTTGAAATCTTTAGATACTGTTAGAGATTTGAATGTGATTCTTGAGTATATACATACACAATCACGTATAATTATTTAATTACGAACATTAATATTATTAAGTATTATTTTTACAATTTGTTTGGGTCATTTTTATCATCTAATTACATTAAATAAATTGACAAACCTTCTACAAACTGATATTTTATAATTGTTAGTTACCGACTTGTACTATTTTTTGCTTGGAGTTAATATAAATATAGTGTTATAATTTTTCATTTCTTTTCTTGAAGTAGCTAGGTGATACATACATCAGTAGTGAAAAAGTAGTTAAAAACTAAATTAGGAAAAGACTGAAGAATGTCTGAAAAAATATAAAACATATACAAATAATAATCTGCTAAATAAAAACTATCTAAATAAAAAAACTATCTCCACAACAATCTCAAAGTCACAGTGGAAACCAAATATCTCAAAAAGCAGGCTACAAGATTATAATTATTAAAAGATCAAATACTGTGTATGCATATAAAAAATGTTGTGTACAAAAATTGCGAAAAAATTGAAATAAATAAATTTAAATAATATAACAAGAATGCAAATAGTATTATAGGACAACAAAATTAGTAAATAATATCATAACAATAAGCTATATATTGTAATGAAATATTATACAAAATATCTTATCTAAATGATAATGATAATGCAGACAAAGATGATAGTGACGAAGACGACCATAACGATGGCGATGATGAAGACAAATAACGACGTTAGTGGTAATGATGACGGCAGCAGTAAAGATGATAATATATATATATATATTCATAATTGTTTTTATAAATTAAAATAACAGCATTAGGAATATTAAAATAACAGTTACAATAACAATTACAATTATAATAATTGTAACTATATTAATAACTGCGTAATTACTACGTGTCGGGGTGCTACTACTCATAGTAGTGATCTAATATGTCAAAATATAATTTATAAATGATATATTGACCTTTTTCTTCGAGCCACTGAGAAAATCCTTATACATTTCCGAGCGAAGATACCTGGAGTAACTATCGCTTTTCATCAGATGATAAACGTGCGCCTAAAATTGAATACCACAGAAGATTGTTTTATTATTTTCTCCATTATTATTATTATTTCTAAGCTTTTATTACATTTAATTTATTCGATCTTAATATTTCAATAAATTTCTTGAATAAATATCTTTTCTACGAAGTTTCTTAATTTTAACTTGTAAAATCTTGTTTGTAATTTGTACCGCTGTTATGTCGAAACACCATCGATCAGGTTTTTGTAAATGCTTCTTTGTTAGCTCATAGGACTGGCAATCGACGTTAATTGGACAACTAGCATCTGGACCCAAATACTCATTCCAAATTTCGTTCACTTTATTTTGAACTTCTTTTTGAGGTAATGTTTTCAATTCTTGCACGGCTTCCCAAAATCTACGTATATCAACGAGGAATTTGTATTTTTAATCTCTATAGTTGTATTTTATTTTATAGAGATATTCTAGTCCAAAACTTGAATATGACTATCTAAATTAGAATATCTTCCTACTATTAACTTACTTTAGATTTTCACCACTGAACTCTTTATCCAGAAAGCGTATAAATTGTTCTCTACCAACAGGATCTTGTAGCAATTCTTGAAGACTAAAACCCCATCTTTTTACTCTTCTTGTTGATATTTCTTTGCTATTTAAAAAAAATCAGATGTATTATCTTAATAATGTACATATAAATAAGTATAATATAAATTAAGAAATACACGTACGCTAATTTTTCTTGCTCCCACATTTCAGGATTATCTGATATCCATGGATTTGTGAATTCAGGTTGTATGAAAAAAGGATCATACTCTACATACTGCTCAAAATATGCAATCAGACTAAAATAATTACAATTAAAAATACTTAAAAATAAGATATGTAATTTAAGCAAATTAATATTGCTTAAAATAAATTAATTATATAACATCATACAGTTTTGGCAAAAATTTACAATAATATTCGATAATATTTAAAGATGATATTTACTTACGCTTCTGAAACTTTCGAGACTTTTATATTCGATCTATCTAGTCTAGATTTCAACATTTCAATCTCCTTATTTAACGATTCTATCGATGATATCGAGAACGATCCTGAATGTGAAGGAATGTCGGTACTAGTCATACCTAAATGTTTGTTTAACTTCGAAATTGGTTTATAAGTACGGCATGCTTTCTTAATGTCCATTTCTGTCGTATTAACACATCCAGGCTGGAACATATAATAATTATATAAGTTTCCTATTATATTAAATATGTGATCATTATTCAATAAGAAATACTTTTTCAAAAAATACAAATAAAATTAGATATTATTACCATTGGTCTATATACATCCCAGAAAGCTCTTTCCTGACTATCCAGTACCTTTCTTTCTAATTTATCTCGCTTTTTATCGACTTTGCTTTGTGCTTCTGCTTGCATAAAAATGAACTCCCATTTCCTCGAAAACATTTTCTGTAACTTAGCTAAATTTTCAGCCTCATAATCTGCTAATTCTAAACGTGTTTTATTTTGCATCGTTCTTTTGCATAAATAGACAGCTATAATATTAAAGTTAAATATAAATTCTTTTACAAATAATTTGATATTTATATAATTAGTACAAGAAATACATTTGTGTAATCAATGCTAAATTAAAAAAAAAATAGTTTTCATACCATAATCAGTATTTTCTGGTTCCCAACAATTTGATGGCCAAAAATATGGTGTTTGAAACCTATAGAAAGTATTATCATTTTTTACAGTAAGGCAGTGGTCATCAATAGGGAAGAAATATCCATGAGATGCCATAAGATGTGCCACATGAAGTGCCTCTATCATATCAATACATTTCTAATTAGTTAAAATCAAATAACTTTTTATATGATTTATGAGGGAAAATCAACAATAAAAGAACATTTTAGAAATTAAATCATTCAATATTATTTATACAATTAAATTGTTTGTCATTTTTTTATGTAATCTTCTTCAAATTCCATATCTCTTATTTTGTAGTAGTTACATTTTTTTAATCAATTAATAATACTAAGACAAGAGCTAAATAAATAACTATTACTTTGTGCTACTATTATACTTTGAAGGCTATGATTAATTATAATATAATTAATAGTTGAAAGCAGAAGCAAAAACCCTTTTATTTTGTGATTTTTCCCTAATGTTTATATACTTAATATTTTAATTGTACCTTGATCATCTATAGCCATGGCCTTCATCATCCATGATATTAAATCTGTACCTAAAATAATAAAGAAAATTAAGTACATTAATATCATATTAAAAAATAAAGAAAGAATAATAAAATATCAAATAAAATTGTAATATATTACCAGTAAAAACAGAAGGTGTTTTTGTCATAAAATTCTTTACCGTTTTCACTGGAACACCTGTAACTTCATCTGACATTTTTTCTACGATATCTTCCATCTACAATATACAGACAAATAAAATTAAAGATAAGAACATTTAAAAATTATAAAAAAATATTCTCTCTTACTTTCTGATACACAAGATAATTAGGTGTATCTTCGGCACATGAGGCAGTGATATGATATGTGGGACTACTTGGAGATTTGTCAACTGCTTGGCCATTTTGATTGTTACATTGATCTATTTGATTATCTCTACTTCTATATGGATCAGCTGTTCCTCCAATGTCATTATTTTCACCTGGTTTTCGGCGACATGCCGATTGTTCAGAATTCATAGTTACCATATCCAAGCTAAAACAGTATTTTGGAAAGATTTTTATTGCATTTATATTATTCAAGGTATAAAACAAATATAGGAGGTCCACTAGTGTTCGACCTTATTACTTAAAAAATTTAGTTTTATTAATTAATTTAGTTAGTTGAAAACAGAAATATATTTACCTTAAAAAAGTATATTCTCCATGACATGAATAAAAGAAAAGTGTCTTGTTTACATTATATTTATCAAGACCTAAGCCAATATCCGATTAATTGACTATTCACTATCACAAAGCCATGCCAATTATACATTTCACTAAGATGAGGCAGAAACAGCTGGTGAAAAAATATATAAATGAAATATTTCTTTATATTTCAATATATTTTCAGTGTATAAATCAATGTCACAATATATATCATTGTTTTATATATACATTTATAGCACGAAAAATGTAAATTTCAATAAATCAGAAAAATTTAAGCATTCTTAGATTTAAATTGATATTAAAAAGCGAAAAAATATAATAATAATTACAATATATGAATTTACTAGTTATTATAGTTAATTTCATATTCTAATCAGCCACAATGAAAATCAAATTTTCATACATTCTTTAAAAATGATCATCAAATTAAATTTAATTTACACAGAAAATTTTACTTCAACAAATGATTAGATAGTTAATAATAATATTACCGACTCTCAAGGAACAAAAACTAAATCTTCGAATGATCAACAGTGCCAATCATTCATGTTCTTTCTTGATAGGCAATTTCTCTATCAGAAATAATGATTCGACCTTTCCATATTAAAAAATATGCATCTATAGTATTTCACGATCTATTCGAAAACTTATTTTTGTAAGTCAAACTGTATTTGAAGCACAAATCTTCCTCATTACACGATCAATATTCCAAAATCACAAAACTATGAACACATTCTATTCGTTCGTAGAATTGCATTTAGACAAGATTGTTCCATTTTAAATAAATTGTTCGAATTATTTCATTAATGACAATAATTTACAAATAAGCCAATAATAAATTGTTTTTGATAGGCGAAATAATAGATCGGTGTTTTTACTATACATATATATACGTGAGATTCCTTTGTACATTCGAACCACGACTGCGCGTACAATTTCATGTTGCTACGACGATGGTGTAGAAAGCATATCATATCATATTCATATGTATAGCAGAAACGGAAATGATGTAAAAATCTGTGGAAATTAAAAAAATTAATTTTAAATGTTAACTAATTCATAATGTTAGTTAACCGTATTCTTTAGTAATAGAATATTTACATATTTACATGATAAATCAATAAAGATCATTCATTGATTTGACAATAAGAATTTTTACAAAATAACGTCTATTTTAAACATTTAGCGAAACATAAAAATGTAAAATGCTTACATATGTCTTTAATAAAAATATATCTAGTATGTGCAAATATTAATATCGATGTGTATTAATTAATGAGATTATTGAACTGCAACATGTTAGTAAACCATCTTTATTCTTTCATTTCTTGGTGTGATAAAATTCTTAATAAATTCAATTCCTTCTCAATATATATAAATTGTACATAATTCATTTCACAACGTAAGCGTACGCATTTCATGCGCGCGAATTCTATGCGAACTTAATGTACAGAATCGCGCATGCGTGTACGTACATACATATCTGTAAAATAATTACAATAATTATATTTTTAAGATCGCTAAATCAACACAGTACTATTCATTAATCGACTTTTTATTTTAATTTTAGTTATAGAGCTTCGTGATTGAAGAAATATATGAATATAGCTAACTATAACTATTGAATATTTCTTTTAATTTTTCGTAATGCTTCGTCAAAATTCAACGAAATATAATTAGGTATTATCCATTTACTCGTTACTTTGAACTCCATAAAGTCGTTATTAATTATAAAATAATACTTTAAAGTTTTATGTTATGTAATATTTTATCGGCTGCTTTTAATGTACGAAAGTAAATTTCGCGATTACGAATATATATGAAACATAATTTATGAGTTACTGATGATTAGTATTAATAAATTCCTGACACAGGCCAATGGCTTAATAAAATTACATTCATATCATGTCAATTTCATTCCTTCTTCCCTAACGAATTGTGTTCTATATATATTTATAGAAATAACATATTAAAGAAAAACTTTACGAATATACAATGTAACAAGTATACATTCTTCAAGTAACAAAGACTCAAATTTCAAGTCTAAGCATTGACTTATGTTTAAGTCAAGAACTTCTTATATACGTGTATATATATATTCTATACTTATATATAATAAAAATATATTATGTCAATATTGAAATTGTTTTACAATTCATAAATAAAAATCTGATGTTACATATAACAATTTCTGTAATACTTTTCCCTTAATGACGCAAATTGCTTTCAAAAGTAACAATTTTTTCATGGTGTGCATCTAATATGAGTGTGTATATATTGTTTAATTAAGTTGTATATACACGCTCATGTACACACATAGTAGTATAATATTACAATATTACAATTATATACATCCATCTCTACATTATGCACAACGTTTTCCGATCATGTGCAAATCATATGAATGCTAAAGTTAGCAATAACACATTTAAATAATTGATTTTGAAATATCAAAATAGCCACAGTTAGATCTCAAACTTTGTTTTGATAACTATAGCTGTTTTTTTATTCGTACTATAATATATATTAGATCAATTGTTTTCTAGACTAGAATCAAACACGTACTAACATTATCCCTAATACACATGAATGTGTATATGGATCCTGTATCTTTTTCACCTTCTCTGTTCATAAATTTAAACCTTTGAACTAAAACTGAACTGAACTAATGTATAAAACACTACAAATTGTCTATATATATACAGTAACATTTATAAGATTTACCTATATCTTTTCTTTTGTACAATATAATTTCCTTGGAACGACTCTATGAGCTGAACTTGTGTTCTTACAAAACCATCACGCACTATTAAAGCAGTCAAATAATACGTAGTTTTAGATCCTCCATTTAGCATATTGCTGATACTTTGGTTCAAGATCCATTGTCAGTTGCTTGAATTCGTCAATTTCATCGTCAAAATCGTAAAGATTGTTATTTTCCTCCATATATCTTCTCTTTAATTCTGTGTCTTCATATTCAACAAGATGCAATTCTCCTTCTTCTTTTTCTTCTTCAATATCATTGATTTTATTTTGTGCTACAAAAATTACGTTAATGATTCTTATAAAGTAATTTTATACTGCCCCATTTTTATGATAAATTAATTCATAGCATAGATAATCATTTGATACAGTAAAGTAAAATCTTTACATCAACTTCTTAAACAGTTCTTAAAAGGTTCAAAACGATAACTCAGAAATAAATGATACTTCAATAAAATATGATAAATATTATGAATATGATAAAAAGAAGTTGCAGTATTGTAACTCTATTCAATGCTTATATCTTATACCTTATATGATAAGGATAATATATAAATATTAATGATGAGGATACAATAAAATAAATAATATATACTTCTTAATTACTTTAATGTGGTCAATATATCATATACATATTATAAAAAAATACAGTAATTGTTTTTTCTAAAATTTTATGTTTAACAATGAATCAAATAAAATGTATATTAAACTTTTAAAAAATAAGATCTGTTATTAATTCAAATATCATTTTTAACTAAATAATGTCAGTTACATAAAATTTACAAAACACATACATACTTGTATCAACAATTTATATAGATTAAAAGGTTTTTGTAGCACTTTACTGTATCAATATAAATAAATAGTTCTTACAAATATAAAATTCTTAAAAAAGATGCGATAAAGCTTTTAATTTCTGCTTATACAACACTAGTGTTATGTGTTAAGTATTAAATAAGTTAAGTATTATATGGACCAAACTGTTAAGATTTTTTATTAGCATAGGAAATATACAAAAGTGAAATGAATTTTTATAGTATTTTTTAAAAGGAAAATTAATACGATTTCATTAGTCGAATGAAAGTTATTATAATAAGTGCAAGCGAGACATAAGATACTGTTGAAATCAGCATAAATAAAAGAAAAAGCATTACTTCTCAAATAAAATATAAAGTCTCACAAATTTTATAGGTATTATATTTTTCCACCAGATTCAAATCGTTTTTACAAAACAATGCGTTTTATAAATTTTTATGTTTATGGCGGTTGAATCAGTCCACTTTATACATAGATTAATTATATACAATTCTTAATTTCACATATCCAATATGATGCAGTATAATGAAGAATAAGCAGCATGAAATCATTTAGATAATATTAAGCATTAAAAATCTTTCTTCGTTATAATATACACAAGTATTCAGTTTGACTTTAATTATTTCCATTATTACATTATAATTTTATTTTAATAACATTTGTAAAGCAATTATTTAATGGTATAATGTGCGTATGTGCGCGCGCGCGCGCGCGCGTGTGTGTGTATGCGTGTGCGTGTGTTGCTTCGGCTCATATTTAATTCAGAATAAAGAAAATTAAATTTAACTAATGCTTCAATATAACAGAAGAAAATCATATCATAAGATCAGTCCAGTTAATTATACATGTGTGCCATAATACCAATATTATTCCAAATTAAAGCTAGCTTGAATATTTCAGATTAAAGGATTTTGTAAAAAATGAGACCATGTTCAATATATGGAATCTTGTTAATACAAAAAGCTTTATATTCACAATAAAAAGAATTTATTTTAAACTTCTTTTAAACATCAACTATGAAATATATGAAATAGTTCTTTCACATCAATTTTCAATATTTAAGATCAAAATTACAATAAATTACATGTTCTTCAAATTATATATACTGGAGAGAAATAGAATATAAAAATATTAATATCTAACTACAACATTTAATAAACATTTTCTTCTGAAATACCTTCAGTGTAATATAATATATATATATATATATATATATATATATATATAATATATTATATTTATATATATATATATATATATATATATATATATATATATATATATATATATATATATATATATATATATATATATATATATATATATATATATATATATATATATATATATATATATATATATATATATATATATATATATATATATATATATATATATATATATATATATATATATATATATATATATATATATATATATATATATATATATATATATATATATATATATATATATATATATATATATATATATATATATATATATATATATATATATATATATATATATATATATATATATATATATATATATATATATATATATATATATATATATATATATATATATATATATATATATATATATATATATATATATATATATATATATATATATATATATATATATATATATATATATATATATATATATATATATATATATA